GCCTGTCATTGCCTGCCTCCCCGTAACAACCCTGGACTTCCTTGGTGGTCTCCCACCCAAGTACTAACCAGGGCGAAACCTGCTTAGCTTCTGAGATCTGATGAGGCTGGGCTAGCCTGGAGCATCCAGGTCAGGGAAAAGTCTGAAAACAAAACATCAACAGTATCCAACATCCTCTTCCAAAAAGTGGGGATACACACAATTCCTGCATACGGTATTTAAGCTTTAAAGATTCCAGTTTAGGGACATGACAGGAAATCCATTAAGGACATAAGAACATAAGAGATGCCAATGTTGGATCAGGCCAAAGGCCCATCCAGTCCAACACTCTGTATCACACAGTGCCATCAGGAGGTCCACCAGTGGGGCCCGGACATTAGAAGCCCTCCCACTGTTGACCCCCCCAATCACCAAGATGACACAGCATCACTTGCCCCAGAGCCCCTAGTGGCAGTGACCCCCCCCCAAGCACCAAGAAGACAGAGTATCACTTGCCCCAGAGCCCCTATCTATACCTTGTGGCTAATAGCCACTGATGGACCTCTGCTCCATATGCTTATCTAATTCTCTTTTGAAGCCGTCCATGCTTGTAGCCGCCACCACTTCCTGTGGCAGTGAATTCCATGTGTTAATCACTCTTTGGGTGAAGAAGTACTTCCTTTTATCTGTTCTAACCCGACCACTCAGCAATTTCATGGAGTGCCCACAAGTTCTTATATTGTGAGAAAGAGAGAAAAGTACCTCTTTCTCTACCTGCTCTTTCCCATGCATAATCTTGTAAACCTCAATCATGTCACCCCTCAGTCGTCGTTTCTCCAAGCTAAAGAGCCCTAAGCGCCTTAACCTTTCCTCATAGGGAAAGTGTTCCAACCCTTTTATCATTCGATTCTTCTGTTGACGTCCACTTGCCCATCTTTGACAGATCCCTTTGGAGGACATGTTGGTTGCAAAAGATAATCAAACTGGGAGTCTTGCTCAGGAAGTATGTTTTAGTGCCCATCTCCCTGAGCCAGTATCTCATGGAGAATGGATAAAGTAGCTATGTCTGATACCTAGAGCTGCATCACCGGTAGAATTTACATTATTTATTTAAATTACTTAGAGTCCGTCTTTCTTGCTGGGACTCTAGGCAGCTTACACAGAATAAGTCAAAACAATCAATAGGATGGGGCATCCAATAGACAATGCAATAAGATTTGCCTTCTAAAGATTTGAAACCAATCAGAGATCAAACACAGTGGTGAAGCATAGCATAAGTATTAATATGACACATTACACAATGCAAACATTACATTGTAGGAACCTAGTTATGGCAACAAATTGTACAGACTAAATACAGTGGTATATAGTTCCTAAACCTTTTCTCCAAACGTCTTTTTTTTTAACATTATAACCCTATTGTCTGCACACAAAAAACCATCAATTGCCACAATGTGCATAGTTTGGGTGTTGCTAACCTCATAAATAGCCCTTTATTTGTCACATGAATAAATGAAATAATATAGTTGGTATGTATGGCTGCGAGAGTTGGACTATAAGGAAGGCCGAGCGCCGAAGAATAGATTCTTTTGAACTATGGTGCTGGAGAAGACTCTGGAGAGTCCCTTGGACTGCAAGAAAAGATTCCGTACCATTGGTACAGAAATCCCTGTCCAAAATAAAAATGCATGTCATATTCTCTTTCAGCTATAGGTGGAGCAGTTGAGCTACATTTTGGGATAAAATCGACGGAATAAGCCTCCTGGTTTCACAACAAAGCAAAAAGAATTGAGTGGCCCTTGGAAAAGATTTATGGGGGCAGAAACTTGCATGTGCTGCAGCCCGCTTTATCAGATGCATGAACTGTATCCTCAGTTGGCAGATGTACAAAGACAGGCGTGGGGGGGAAAGAATTTAGAACAGAGGTGCTAAAAAAGCAAGTGGTACACTATGTGACCATTCTATACACCACTCCAAGCATTCTGGAGGAAGTCAAACCAATAGTCCACCCATTTCAGTACTTTTTAACTACAATACTGCATTCAGTTGTGCTTTTAGGTCATTGTAAGCTGCCCTGAGCTATTAGAAGTGAAGCGTATACTTAAAATAGATACAGGTGGGTAGCTGCGTTGGTCTTAAGCAGCGGAACAAAGTTTGAGTCCCGTGGCACCTTTAAGGCCAACAAAATTTTATTCAAAAGCACATGAAAGCTTATACCTTGAATAAAATTTTGTTGGTCTTAAAGGTGCCACGGGACTCAAACTTTGTTCTTAAAATAAATATTGTTGTCTCCGATTGGCGGCAGCTCTCCAGGTCTCAGGCAGAGATGTCCATCTTTAGCAGTTCTGCTCTCTTCGTAATCGCAGGTATTAAGGATTCAGGTTGGGGAGCTTAGGCATGTTAACGGTGGGCTCTGCCAGTGAACATTGAATCACTGCTATAATTCTAAATTGTTACATGTAAAGGGGGAAAGCAACAGAATTCAGAACAAGAACAGCCACGGGCATATCCCCATTTCATCAACATTACATCACAAGTTCTTGCGAAGATATAACTATGCAAAACTACACTGCAGAGAAAGAAAAAAATAACCAACAGTTGTGGCACCCAAAAGACAAACAGAATTTTATTTCTGCGGACTCACACCTTTGCACAGAGAACACTATGAATTCTTTAAAAAGAACTAGAAACAAGCATCTAAAGGAAAACAATTACTGTAATTCACCATTATATGCATATGTGCCGTCAAGTTACAATGGCAAGCCGCTTTCAAGGCAAGAAGCAGAGGTGGTTTGCCATTGCCTTCCTCTAAAGTCTTCCGGGGTGGGGGGCTCCCATCCAAGCACTGAACCTGCTTAGCTTCTGAGCTCTAACGAGATTGGGCTATACCACACCACGTTCCCTCCTCAATTAAACCTTGGGCACTAGAAATAGAAAAGTAACACAGGAAAATCGAGAAGTCCAACACTTATAGTTGCTGTTTTAGGATACTGTGCACAGATAATATTTCGCAAAGGACTACCTTGTACTTTCCCTTCTTTTACAATATATGTAACTAACAGGCAAAATGAACAAAGTTTGAGTCCGGTGACACCTTTAAGACCAGCAAAGTTTTATTCAAGATATAAGTTTCCGTGTGCCTTGAATAAAACTTTGTTGGTCTTAAAGGTGCCACTGGACTCAAACTTTGTTCTGCTGCTTCAGACCAACACGGCTACCCACCTGGATCTAACAAGCAAAATAACTACTTATTTAAAATGCATTCAGTATGAGCTTTCGAGAGTGCTACGGCCATTACAACAGGGGCTTCTGGCAGTCCCAGTGCCAGGGGAGGACAGGATGGTTTCCACTCAACCTTGGGCTTTCTCAGTGGTAGTCTCAGATCTTTGGAATGGGCTACCAAAAGAAACGTGATCAGCACCATCTTGGTCTGAATCTTGGTCAGAAAACGTTGGTGTAGTGGTTAAGTGTGCGGACTCTAATCTGGGAGAACCAGGTTTGATTCCCCACTCCTCCACTTGCACCTGCTGATGTGACCTGGGGTCAGTCACAAGCTCTGGCACAGCTGTCCTTGAAAAAGAGCAGTTTGTGTCAGAGTTCTCTCAGCCTCACCCACCTCACAGGGTGACTGTTGTGGGGAGGGGAAGGGAAAGGAGTTTGTAAGCCACTCTGAGACTCCAAGTGAAGGGCGGGGTATAAATCCAATCTCTTCTTCTTCTTCAAAGTGGAGCTGTTCAGAAAGACTTTGGGGTAGAAGCTTATTGCTGTCTGATGTCATTCACTGCAATCTGAGGAAGAGTACTGACACTTACAAGCTTATACCCCCCAGAATCTTGTTTGTCTCTAAAGTGCTATTAGACTTGAATCTAGCTCCTCTACTGCAGACCAACACAGCTGTCCTCTGAAACTATGATTTCATTGTTGTCTATTCGTCCTGACAACAGTGATTTCTTTTATTTTGCGTATTTCATCGATGTGGTGGATTTTAATCTTTCTCTCTCTCTCTTTTTATAGGGACTGCTTTGAGTGATTCCAGTTTTCAGAGATGTGGTGTGTAACAATTTCAGGTGGATAAATAAAAATGGAATTGCCCATATTTATTATTTCTGTATACTTATGTCAAACAAATGAAATTACATGCATTTATCAATCACTAGATTTGTATTTTAAAATAAACATGAAAACATTTATTTTTGTTATATGTATGCCAAAGAAACAAATAATGGGAATAAGCACAAGTATTCATTATTCACTATACACATATTTTACATAAATTATATTTTTATGTAGAATACTGTCTCTTCAGAGTCCTGCTCCAGGCAGCTTCCAATTATACCTTCAATACATGTTCTATAATTTACTGTCTACTATATCTACTATATAATTTACTATATCTATCTGTCTGTCTGTAATTCTATGCCCACACAAATTTTGGACAAAACCCCCTCATGCTTTTTATTATTTGTTTCACATGCATTTCCGTTTGGAAATACATGTATAACATATAATGTGCAACAAGTAAATACAATTAAACTGTCTTCATTATTTCTTAAACATTTCAACACACACAAACAAATAATAAAGCACAATTACTTTGTTATCCCACCTATCTTTTATTTTGCCTTAACACATTTATCCGTTTAAAATGAAGAGGAATACAGAGGATCGCATTCGACCACCTTGCCGCAGCACCACACTGTGAGCTCACTCCCACCTATCCTCCGGGCGCCCTTCGTCCAACTTCAGGAAATGAAAGGGGTCTTTACAGAAGGCGATTAACTAAGAATGGTTTAAAAAAACAACAACAACCCAAACCCCCTCACATACACCACCCCACAAACCAACCCGCCCGCCGCGCGATGTAACCGCGTCACCGCCACCGGCCAATGGAAACGCCGGGAGCGGCCTCCTTCTCCCGCCCGCTAAGGAAGTGAGGAGGCGTGGTCACGTGAGGCCGTCCTCGGCCGATGCGGTCAGCGGGTCACGTGAGGGTTGCCTACGCGCGGTGGGGCCGGGTGCAGATGGCGGACGCCGAGGCTGACGCGGCCCTGGCGCCGGAGATGCAGCGGCTGTCCGCCGGCCTCCGTTCCCGACTCTGGCAGCTGCAGGCCGAGCTGAGCGACCAGGAGGTGTCGGAGGCGTCGTCGGGCGCCTACTGCCGGGGCTTCTGTCAGGTGAGGGGGGGGGGACCGGTGGGGACGCCATCCCCCCGGGTGAGGTGCGGGAGGGCAGGGCCTGGAGCTCCCTGCTGGTGCCCGCTGGAGGAGGGGAGGGGCCGCCCCTAGTGGGAACAAGAGGTTCCTTTTCTCCATGGATCTCGGTTTAATTTTTAACGGCCGGCCGAGCTCCGTTTCCCCATGCACCGTCTCCCCCAGTTCCGAAGTGTCTTCGTCGGATGAGTCCCCGCCCGTGGTGGCCTCGTTTGGGGTGTTGGGGCCTCGTGGCTGTGGGCGGGATCCGTGGCCGATGCTTTTTTGAGGGGTGTGTGTGTGTGTTCCCTCTCTCACCCTTCTTTTGGTTACCGCCTCGTGGATGCGCCGCGGCGAATCAGAACGGGGGCTTATCAGAACGGGGGCTTAACCGCTCTGGCTGGCAGCGGTTCTCCGGTGTGGACTTGGGCTGAGGTCTTTTGCATCGCCTGGGGATCGAACCTGGGCTCTTCTGTGTGCTCTGTTGTTGAACCACAAGGCCATCCCCCCAAAAAGAAGTACTGAGCGCGTGAGGTCCCCTTATACAGAGTCTGACTGTTGTTCCGTCGAGGCCAGCATTGTCTACTCTGACTGGCAGCAGCTCTCTGAATTGTTAGATAGAATCTTTCATATTTCTTGCTCCCTTTTCCTTTTAACTGGAGATACTGTGGACTGGATCTTTTATATGCAAAGTAGATGGTCTACTGCTGAGCCACTGGGTCCCCCCCCCAAGCACTGTACTCAAGAAGTATGACTGTTGTTCTGTCAAGGCCAGCATTGTCTACTCTGACTGGAAGCAGCTCTTCAGCATCTTAGATAGAGGTCGTTCATATTTCTTGCTCCCTTTTCCTTTTAACCGGAGATACTGGGGATGAGGGCTTCTGTATGGAAAGGAGATGATCTACTGCTGAGCCCCCCCCCCCCAGCACAAAACTCAAGAAGGTCCCATACCAAGTATGACTGTTGTTCTGTCAAGGCCAGCATTGTCTCCTCTGAGTGGCAGCAGCTCCCCAGCATCTTAGATAGAGGTCTTTCATATTGCTTACTTCCTTGTCCTTTTAACTGGCGTTATTGGGGATTGAACCTGGGGCACTGCACCTCTTCCCCCTTTTCCATAGAAACATTGTTAACATTGGTGTTGAATGGATGAAGCTCATTGAGACTGTTGGGTCAATCAGGGCCAGTGTTGTCTACTCTGACTGGCAGCGTCTCTTTGGATTTTTATACAGAGATCTTTCATATTTCTTACTCTACTTACATTTAATTATAAATGCTGGGAATTGACCTCTAGACTCACTGCATGCAAAGTAGATAGCATCGTGCCTCAACACTCTTCCCAAAAGGAACATTGAGCACATGGTGTTGAATGCCTGAAGCTCTGTTATAGTCGATGAGACCACTGGATCTGTCAAGGCTAGTGTCTAACTGGTTCCAGCTCTCCAGCGTCTCTGTCAGAGGTCTAGAGCATTAGTTGCTAGCTGTTCATTTTAACTGGAGATGCTGAGGATTGAACCTGTGGCCTTCTGCATGAAAAGTGGATGCTCTGCCATTGAAACCCAACCCTTCCCTAAAAGTTCAGAATAGCTGTGGGCATCTTTCTTCTCTCCAGAGATAGTTTCAGAGTGTCTGTTTGGTTAACGTATGTTCTTTGATCTGTCTTCTACTGTCTGTGGATATTGGCAAGGTGTTTGTGGGGTATGTGTAGGCTTGGTGGAGATTGGTGTGGTGGCATAAGATTTGGTGAATTTGAGCCTGGTTTGTCTTCCAGAAAAGGAGCTGCAATCCTTATGTGTGTTAACGTGAACATAGATCCATCTGTGTTCATTGGGCCTTAACTTCCCAGAAGTGTGCATCAGTCAAAAGCATTGGTGTATTACAGCAAAAACAAGAGCATTGTGGTTCCTTAAAAAAATAGCTTGATTTCTTCTAATGAGACCATATGGCCAAATACACATTTTGTTTTCTGTACTGCAGAAATGGATCTGGTCTTTGATTAGTGGTGGTTCTTGGACAGAAAGATCTGACTAATGTTGTTTTTCTTTGGAAATGGAATTTTCATTATCTTTCTCCTTCAGCTGCTGTCATGTAGGCTATGTGCTAGAGAGAGCCAGTGTCATTCAGTAATGTGCTGGGTTAAATCTAGAGCGTCAAGTCCTTGCTCAGCCATGAAGTACACCAGAAGATCTTGAGGTGGTCTCCCTCTCAGTCTCACCAACCTTACAGGGTGACTTTGAGACCAAAGTACAGGAGGATATACTCATGTAAGCCACCCTGACCTGTTTGCAGGCAAGTTGGTATAAAGATGTGGTAGTTACAAGATAGTAAACTAGTAAACATTGAATAACATTTTATTTGCCCTGACCTGGATAGTGCAGGCTAGCCTGATTGCATTAGAACTCATGAAGCTAAGTAGGGTCCGCTCTTGTTATTGTTTGTTTGTGTGAACACCAAGGAAGGCCTGGGTCGCTATGCAGAAGCAGGCAATGGAAAACCACCTGTGAAAGTCTCTTGCCTCGAAAACCCTATGGGGTCACCGTAAGTTGACTATGACTTTCCACAACCAACATTTTATTTGTGTGCAGTATTACAATTGAAAAAAAATAATTTAAATGTAACATGGTTAAACATGGCTTTCATTTGGTAAAGTAGCAATAGGGTAGAATGTTTTTTAGTTTTCTTTGTTTCTGGAGTCCAGTACTTGGTAGAGAAAGAGAGGGGTTTGGGCTTGGAAAGGACTTTGGGTTCTGCATGAATTCTTGCATTCAAAGGTAGATGTTATCTTTGGGCAGTAGTACCATTTTGTGACCAACATGAATGCAAAACTAGCACAGGCCCCGGTCACACGGCAAAGTTGCCGTGGAAGAGGCACGGGTGGTGGGCGGATTATCCGGGCGCGATCACACCCCAACATCTGGGAAGTGGAGTGCACCCGTGGCTTACCGCCGACAATGCGAGTTAAAAAACTAGTACCTCCAAGGTACTAGTAAACGTTTGCCATGGGCTGCCTCCAGACGCCCGTGGTGTGATCACCCCAGCGCGCGGCATTCCCCTCCGGTCCCTCGTTTACCTGCTGGCGCCAAGGGAAGGACCGGTGGTGTGCCGCCATTGCGTCTAACCGCGGATCAAACGGCGCCAGGGTAATTAGCCACGCCTCCTCCCGCGATATCAGGCCGGTGTGACTGGGGCCACAGAGAAGGAATAAGCTAATGTCAGGTTCTATTAAGATTATTTTAAGAAGAACTTCCAAGTAGACAATAACATGAAGTGTGTTCAGTGACTTCTGTATTGACATAAGCCCCACAAACTCCCCATAGGTAGGCAAGCCCCAGTCGGCCCATGTGTATCAGTGGTACAAGATGGTCATCCGCTGAGGCTGGAATTGTTTGGAGCAGGTGCAGATACCACTGGTTTGGAGAGGCAAGGTGCGTTTCATCTTCCAAACAGATAAGAACCCCTGGTTCCTGGAAGAAGGGCTGGGGGAAGAGGCAGTAAAGGATGGATATAGAGTTTACACTGCAATCTATGTCCTACTGTGTTGTCAACTGAGGTTCACCAAGTGGGCTGATGAGTCTCAAGGACCCCACCTGTGTCTAGCTGCTTTGACTCGGTCAAAAGTACGGAGCACTTTAACTTGTAGCACCCATTCTGTTTGAAGCTAAAGGTATTAGATTAAACCAGTTTCAACAGCAGAGGTGGCATTGTGTTTCTGTCCCTCTGAGAAGGAGAGTTGGTTTGGACCTTTATTGAAGTATTAGGCAAGTTTTATTTTAGAACATGATTTTTGGCTTCCTTGACATGTTGGATTTCTCAGTGGAACTGTTGTTGCATTTCTGGATAAGATGTTAAGGCAAACATAAGCACCTAAATTACTTTCAGATTAACTCAGTTTCCAGGAGATGGTTTTTCAATGTTAAACTGAAGACACTTCGTGTTAATGTTTCTGTTAATTCCTATGGTATTTTGCTCCATGCTGTTTGATTGCAATGGAAAAGTTTTCAAAATACATCTTGGAATACAAGTGAAGGGCTGTTGCAGTCTTAGCAAAACTTTTGATAGCTGATGTATGTTTCTTCTCTGAATTACTATTCAGCTGGGGTGGTAGAAGCTGAGAGCTTCGCGCTGCCTTAGCTGAGGCTAGCTCCTCGTGCATCTTGGTTTAAACTGAGCTGTGAGAGAAGTCAGCCGAGGGTCAACTGGAGTGGTGGGAGCTGAGAGCTCCCCTTCAGCTTGGCATTGGCATCTCTTGGAGCCTGGCTTAAACGGGGCTGCAAGAGAAGTCAGCCCAGGATCAGCTGTGCAATTTTCCCCCTCATTTTTTCTTCTTCTTGGGTCTATTGGACCTGAAAAAATTTGGGATTTCAAAAAAATCCCATGTTGGAATACCACACCAGTATTGGGATCTGGGATGTTTCAGGAAACCGTATTTCCCCCCCAGTTCTGTCTACCAGAACCAGATTGGGGGGGGGGAGGATTTGCACACCCCTAGCCAGTACAGTGGACCATGCAGAGTGGCAGCATGCAGCCTCTTTTTGATATTCTTTATGTTGACAGGATGCTGTAATATTATTTTGCCCTGCATAGTTTGGAAGACTGATTGCTGTATTGTTTTTGTTCCTTGGCATAAATCATTCCCACTGAGGAGATATGTCTGATCATGTATTTGCGTACTGGGGATCCGGTTTAGCATAATTGTCTAGTCTGCTGCATGGAGATGTGTTCTGTATTTACAAGGCTTGGAGATGATCTCTGGTAACTACAATGATTACTTGAAAAGGAAGTTCTCAAACATAGGTCTTCCAGCAGAGGAGAATGAAAGAATTGGAAACAACAAGTATTACGGAGTCTTGTATGAAACTTTGTTGAGTAATTGCAGCTTCGTGTGAAGCACCGTGGAACAACCAAGAAGAATTAGAAGATGTCATAGGTGAAGGAAATTATCTCCTATATTTATTATTTATTTATGCTTTCGACTTGTATCCCGCTCG